TAAGAATAATAATAATGGTAATAATAATATTAATAATAATAAAAGAAGAAGAAGAATGAGAAATAAGGGTGAGTGGTGGGGGGTCTAGCGGGTGTGGTAAAGAGGGGAAGAAGAAGAAGAAGAAGAACGAAGGAATGAGGATGTTGGTGGTGTAATGATGATGATGATGGATGATGATGATGGTGCATTAATGTAACGGAGAAAGAGGGAAAGACGTAAAGGGGACAGAAAATCTCTCCTTAGTATATTTTTTCAAAATCTAGAGTACTTGAGAGTATATTTTGAAAAATAGAGGTACCTGGCAGTACTTACAATAAAACATGAGGTACCCCGCAACAGTTTTTTGCTTCGTACATACTAGTCTTTTATAGTCATAACAATTATGGAGTATTAAAACATAGAAAAAAGTATCAAAATAGGATTTTTCATGTTTTCTTTTTGAAATAAGACTTCACACTGTGATAATGTAGTTGTAATGTGGCACTGTACATGTGCATATTAGTATACTTTTTGGTAATGTACATGACCATGTTTGATAATGTAAATGCATTTTAAGTCCTATTTCGAGAACAAAAAACATGGAAGTTCTATTTTGGTATATTTTCAATGTTTTAGTCATATTTTAGTCTTTCTCCCTAATTTAAACAAATAAAAAACTTTAAAAATATAATAAATATTTACCATGGCATTAATTCAAAAAAATGATAATACAGCTAAAATACTAGTGGTTGGTTATTTAAATTAGAATTTTTCAATATGTACTTTTTGAAAAATTGTATTGCCAGACGATATATTATACACGAACTTACTGCTTATTATTTTATTTTTTTATTTTGGTTATTTTTAAAATGAATCTCTTAAAATGTTTCATCATAGGTTTGAATATAAATATTTGTGTGAATAAAAAATTAAAAATTTCTATTATACGCTCTTTTTTAAATGATATTGTTTAAATGTTTCATAATTAATTTTGTTTGTTTTAAAAATTGTCCTCCTTTTCTAGTAAGAAAAAGAAGGGTAAAAATGAAAGAGTATGTGTTTTCCTAAACGGAGGGAGTAAAACATAACAAAACATAATTTTAAAAAATAAATTAAAAAAAACTTTATGGAAAGTAATGAGAAAGAAGAAAAAATAAAATAAAAAAAGTTAAAAGAAGAAAACAAAGAAAACTAGATTAGGTGCGGTGTAGAAAATGGACACCAATTTTTCATATTATCAAACTTGAGCTGTACTCCATGAACCTGAAATACAACTACCAGAAATTCAGGGGTTCAAGCAATTTGGAAGGAAAAGAAAAGAAAAGAAAAACTTTTTCTCTCATTTCCTTACTAAAATGGGTGGAATTTGATTTAAAGAATTTACTTAAATAACACTAAAACATAATGATTTTTCCTAAATAGCACCACATGTGTTTTTCTTCCCAATGTAGCACTTTTAGTCATTATGCATTAGTCATTATTCAAGAAAATATTCGTCATCAGTGGACATTATAGGCATTATTAATTGCTATTTAGGGAATAGAACAATTTAAGTGCTATTGAAAGAAATGACTTAAGTTTTAGTTCTATTTAGTGCAAATATTTCATTTGATTTTCCCTCCTCTTATTATATTTTGTCTTTTCATTTCATTTTCCTTCTACCTTTCTTTTTTTTTCCTCTCTATCCAAACAAAAAAAATATTTTCCCTCCTCTTAATATATTTTTTCTTTTCCCTCCTCTTAATATATTTTGTCTCTTAATTTCCTTTTCTTTCTACTTTTCTTTTCTTTTCCTCTCTATCCAAAAAAAATTTATTTTCCATCTCATTTTCTTTTCTTTTCCATTTCAAATTCCTTGAACCAAACATAGTATAACGGGAGGGGCCGGGAAAAGATGCAATCTGTTAAAAAATGAGAATTTTATACGTAAGCTTTGCAGAAAGAGTAAGAGAGAAAAAGGATTTATTTCTGAAGAAATTTACCTAAATAGCACTAAAACATAATGATTTTAATTTTCCTAAATATAATCATATATTTTTATTTCTCAATGTAGCACTTTAAGTCATTATTCATTAGTCATTATTCAAGTAAATGTTCTCCATCACTGGACATTATTCCTCTCTCTAGACATTATTAAGAGCCTGTTCTTTAGGGCTTGAACTCTTAACTTTCAGTTTCTTCCAGTTCTTCTAGTTCCTTCCACTTTCTTCTAGTTCGTTCCAGTTTGTTCCAGTTTCTTCCAACTATTCTCATTTTCTTCAAACTCTTTCTACTTCTCAACCAATTACTCTAAAAACGATATATGTTAATGTGATTATTATTACTATTATTATTATTATTACAACTGTTATGTTCATAACTATAGTTTATAAATTATTATTTTCATCTCACTATTTTTACTATTCACACTCATTATTTTTTTCAATTTTTTAATATGAATAAGATAATTTTTGTATATTAGTCTACATGATAAAATAAGAAAATATCAATATGTTAAATTATATTTAAAAAATTATGGATAAAATAGTGACATTGAATGTTTTATTAATCTAACTTTATATAAGACCTCTCACCTTTCCCTTTATTACTTAAAATTTGCTCATTTTTCTAATTTCTATAAAAAAAATTATAAGTCAAAATAGTTTAGAGATAAAGACTAAAATAGGAGTAAAACATAAAAAATGTAAAAAAAATTCTATGTCTTTATTCCAAAAATAGGATTTCAATGAAAATAAAATCTCAATCATGAAAGAAAAAATAGGTTTGATTATATTATGTGACATGTCTGATATTTAAAACAAAATCTTGTAATATATAAATTATAATTACACATATATTATTTATAATAAATACTGTATAAATAAATTGAGGTGCAATATAACCACAAAGACTTTTTAAAATTTAATATTTTTATATTTATGCTAACTTTATATTATAATTATTTTTTGCAAAAGTGGTTTTTTTATTTAAAAAATAACAATATTTTTTTGTAACTTAAAGGCATTCATTAAGATAACGTGATGGTGATGATGATCATTAGGGGTGGGTGTGAAATCTGTTCCCGTTGGACCGTCCCCAAAAATCCCGGATACGTTTTGTAATTGTACCGATATATTGGGACACAATTTTTTTGTCCCGAACCCGTTCCGTCCCAATATCAAATGAGACATGAGCGGGACAGCTTAAATTTATACCGATCCGTCCCGTTTGTCCCGTTTCTTCTACTCTACTAATATATAATACTAATTCTAGTCCAAAATCCAAATACACTCATTCTTTAATTAATTAGTTATTTAATTAAATTAACTTCATGAGCTTGAAATTTATTTGGACCCGTTCCACTCATTGTTTTTTGTCGGATGGCTAGATGTTTCTTTTTTTGAATGAAATGTCACTCTCTTCCCCTTCTTATATTTGCGATTAGGACAAAGTAGGACGACCCGAATCCGTCCCGTTTTGTTCCGATCCCGAATTTTATGGGACAAACTGGGATTAGATTGTAATCCGAACTGTTTCGGACCGTTTATATATAACGGGACAAGACGTGGGACAACCTAAAATCTGGACCGTCCCGATCCGTGCCCACCCCTAATGATCATAATAATAATGATAATAATAATAATAATAATAATAATAATATACTCCTTCCGTCTCATAAAACATGAGATGTTTTTTTTTTGAAGAGATTTAAGGGGAGTATATTTTGGTATTGAATTTCCAAAAATGTCCTTTGATGTGATGGGTAAAAGTAGGATTTGATAGGTAGAATATTAGTAAAAAGATATGATGTGATATGTAGGTATGAAAAAGTAAGGGGTGAAAGTGACTTTTTAATAGAAATAAGAACTGTTTTTTGAGACGGATGAAAAAAGAAAGAAGAAAGGTTTTCAGGGACGGAGAGAGTAATATAATACAATATAATACGGTATAATACAGTATAATCTAATATAATACAATATAATACAATACAATACAATACGATATAATACGATACAATACGATACGATACGATACGATACGATACGATACGATACGATACGATACGATACGATACGATACGATACGATACGATACGATATGATACGATATGATATGATATAATATAATATAATATAATATAATATAATATAATATAATATAATATAATATAATATAATATAATATAATATAATATAATATAATATAATATAATATAATATAATATAATATAATATAATATAATATAATATAATATAATATAATATAATATAATATAATATAATATAATATAATATAATATA